TAAAAAATACAAAAGCGCCCATAAAATCTGCAAAACACAAAATGTGAAACCGCAAACTTGCGTCTATGTCCGCATAAACCCAAAACCCCCATACCAAATTTGATGAAGATCCATTAACAGTAGGCGAAGTAGTGCTAAAAAACAGACAGTACTATTATACGTATACAGATTCATTGGTTGATGGCAGTATAGTTGTAAAGCTAGCTGGATTTGAATCGTCTATATTTGATATTTATTTCTAAATCAGACTCGTTAATTTTATTGTAAAATCAGACAAAAGAAAACAGGAAAGTATGCGCTTTGTTGTCTTAGAACCTTTTTCATAATTTCTACTCTGTTACTTACAATTAATCTCTATACATTCACACCAGAAATTGAGCAGGTTTATAACTTCTGTATCTTTATTTAACTAATTCTAAGCTGTTTCTAACACAGTATCATTGCATGTAACTAATAGCATGCTTATATTTAACGTTATTTTAAATGCCACCGGAAGCTGTAGCAGAAAAGTATCTTCATATAAAAACAATTATAGGAATTAAAACATATATGTCTACTTTCTTTTACATAAGAATGCATACTACACGTATGTACACGTAAAAAACCTTGTCATTCATATAGAATCGACTAGGCATAACAACATGGCAAGTACTACATAATACCTTCAAAACAGAAAAATTAGAATTAAAACTCATCTATTGATAAAACTTGTTAATTGACATGCTTCAAATATTTTTACAAAAATTATCTTTGTTTTGAAAAGATTTAAATAAGAAATCAATCAGTTGCCAGTAAGAGGGTTTGAACATCTCCGTTCCTACAGATTCCTAAAATAGTTTATCAAATTTTTAAAAGCAGAGGATTGTTTGGTTTGAATTTCGCGCAAAGCTACACGAGGGCTATCTGCGCTAACCGTCCCTAATTTAGCAGTGTAAGACTAGAGGGAAGGCAGCTAGTCATCACCACCCACCGCCAACTCTTGGGCTACTCTTTTTACCAACGGATAGTGGGATTGACCATAACATTATAACGCCACCACGGCTGAAAGGACGAACATGTTTGGTAGGACGGGGATTCGAACCCGCGACCCTCATATCACGAGTCGAGCGCCCTAACCACCTGGCCATGCCGGGCTAAAAGCAGAGGAATAGCCTGCTGTGTTATCGAAAAGGTTTCTTTAATCCTTAAGATCTACCCATCAATACAGCAACAATATAGAACACACATGTGTCAAAAGTAAACGTACTTTATAACTTTTGGTTTTGTTGTTAAGTACAAAGCTACACAATTGGCTATCTGTGCTGTGACCACTACAATTACCGAAACCCGGTTTTTAACGTTATAAGCCTTCAGATTCACCATTGTGTCACTGGGGAAATATAAGTTTTGGTGGTAATATATTAATATAACAGTTTTTATTCACCACCATATACGCCAGTAATACATTTGCCATCTGTATCTCTTCATTGGTTTGTTGAATGTGCTAAACATTTTTAACGATATCATGAAATGTTTGATAATTTAACAGGTTACAAATAGAATGAACTTTTGAGGGGGAATTTTGACAAGCTAATAAAATTGATATAGAACCGTTTTCACACGCTGCATAACATTTATAAAAAGGGATTTCACATACCGCTAAACATTGATATAAAAGTTTCACACCTTGAAAAAATTCTATATAGATGATTTTTCACTTATTGCAAAACATTTATATTGAATATTTTCAGATACCGAAAAACAATCATATAGAAGAGTTTTCATATATTAGAAAATATTGAAAAAGAAGAGTTTTCACATACAGCAAAACATTTATATGGCAAAATATTAACATATTGCAAAACAATGAAATAGAAGATTTTTCAGATCACAAAACATTTACATAGCAGTTTCACAAATTGCAAAACATTTATATAGAATAGTTTTATATTTCACGAAACATTTACATAGCAGTTTTCACAGATTCCAAAACATTTACAAAGAAGTTTTTTCACGTACCGCAAAGCATTTATATAGAATAGTTTTATATATCACAAAACATTTACATAGCAGTTTCACAAATTGCAAAACATTTACATAGAATAGTTTTATTTATCACAAAACATTTACATGGAAGAGTTTTCACATGAACAATAACTGAATTCTGCCTTATATTTGTTTTCGCTGTGATTACAAGCGACTTATTTTTAATCGAATACTACGAACTATTTAAATCGAAAGAATTAGTTACAACAAACAGTTTCTTTATTCGACATTACTCATCTTGCCTGACGTTCAATATTGTCCGAGAAATGTTCTTTACAAAGATATTTTTGAATTGTATTAAGCTGTTGGTTTTTGTGTGAAGACTTGCTATATCACACTAAAGCGTATTCTTCTGTTTTGGTTATCATTTGGCTTTTGAGGCCACCTTGTAAATTCAGTACTTTATGCATATTTATTTGATTCCCATTTCAACATCATTTATATCTATTATAAAGTGAAATGCCGAAACTGTTAACTCAAAAAAGCAAAATAGCTGATTTATTTCTCATTCAGACGCATGACACATTTGTGAAAGTGTCATTCGAGGACTGCTGTGTTCCAGTCAGACATTTTCTGTCTCTACAAAGTAAACCTCCTCTAGGTAAACTTGGAACTATAATTATGAAGCTAATTTCGTAATTCCTGCTCTCTGTAGTTATAGACTTAATGGTATAGTTAATTACTAATGACTGTTTACATACGTACAAGCAACGCTATGTTAAAATAGAATAGCTTGTACCCATCGAACCGTGTTCTCAAAGCAGTTTCCTGTGTTTTCAGATAGCTTTATCGTGAAAATAGAATAACATATTTTAATGCAACTAACACAAGTTAAAGCGTTAACTGTTATTTGTTCCATTATATAAAATCGTCGTATTTAGAGATATTTTTTTACAGATATAGTTTAAACAGAACTGTCCCTACTTTGTCTTGTAAACAACGATATGTTTTGATGCTAATAGCGTTACTTAAATTGTAACAGAAGCTATACTTGCGTAAAGTAGGTAACAAAGCAATAACAAGTGTAGAAACAAAAGACAAGGCTAAATTAACAGAGTATGAATTGTTTCGTAGAAAACTAAAACATATTGAAAAATTGTTGGGTGGAAGATTAAAGTATATGAAAAATTGTTCAGTATAAAATTGAAATATACTGCAAACTGTTTGATAGAAAATGAATATATATATATTGTTAATCATCCGATAATTGCTACTCATTATAGCAATTACAAGATATGGCTATATATGTATGTGCTAAAATATTATAAATTTTAATTATCCCTTTATTGTTTTATGCAGTCTAAGATATATATAATACAATTACAAGTGTTAACCCTCAAAAATTTTAAGTTACATTAAATGATCTATATTTTGATGTAATTCAGATAACACAGCAGATTATATATTCCAAGCTGTAGTTCAGATAAATAATTAAATTATATATTTCAGAATGTAGTTCAGATTACCTATTCCAAGCTATAATTAAGATGAAAATTAGATTATATATTTCAGAATGTAGTTCAGATTACCTATTCCAAGCTGTAAATAATATAAAAATTAGATTATACTTTCCAGAATGTAGTTCAGATTACATATTCCAAGCTGTAGTTAAGATAAGAAATTAGGTTATCTATTTCCGAATGTAGTTCAGATTATCCATTTTAGGATGTAGTTCAGACAACACATCCAATTACCTATTTCTCGATGTAATTCAGGTAACATAGCAAATTATGGACTTTTTATTATTTAAACAATATAACAGAATGTTTCCTTCTTTCTAGCTCAAATTATAGATAATTTGCTTATCGCTAACACCTCAACAGATAATACAGTTCTGGTATTATTTTAGGTAACATAGCAGGTTGTAAATTTTTATAATGTTTCTAGTAACACAATATGGTTAATACTTTTATTGTGGCTTGAATTGCACTGGTGTTTTTTATTCATAGTACACATAACAGAGCATATTGTTTACTTCTAGTTTTAGTTCAGCTAACAAAGTAAAGTGTAGGCTTTTGATTTAGTTTAGATAACAGTATATTTTATTGGTAGTACAGGCAAAACAATATTGTGAACTTCTAGTTGTAATCATAGTAAAACAACAAGTTGTATGTAAACTTCTAGTTGTAATCAAAGTAAAACAACTTGTTGTATGTAAACTTCGAGTTGTAATCAAGATAAAACAATAGATTGTAGATTCTAATTATAACCTAGATAAAACAACAGATTGTAGACTTCTAGTTGTAGTCAATGTAAAATAATAAATTGTAGACTTCTAGGTGTAACCAAGGTAAAACAACAGATTATAGATTCTAGTTGTAATCTGGGTAAGACAACAGATTGTAGACTTCTATTTGTAATATAGGTAAGACAACGGATTGTAGAGTTCTAGTTATAATATAGGTAAAACAACATATTTTAGACTTCTGGTTGTAATCTGGGTAGGACAACAGATTGTAAACTTCTAGTTATAATATAGGTAAAACAACAGATTTTAGACTTCTGGTTGTAATCTAGGTAAGACAACAGATTGTAGACTTCTAGTTATAATGTAGGTAAAACAACATATTTTAGACTTCTAGATGTAATCTGGGTAAAACAACATATTTTAGACTTCTAGTTGTAATCAAGGTAAAATAACAGATTGTAGATAAAATAACGACCTATATAATGTAACTTTATTAGCTCAATATTTCGCTTCGTCAGGTGTTATCGATATCCTACAAGGTAACTATCCCTGTTTAATCTAAGTTGGAACACCGTCGCCAGTAAATCGAACATCGATACACATGATGACTCTTTTAGAAAATTGCTTATCCACGGGAATCCTGACAGGCAAAAAGAAAATAGACATGTCCTCTTGAACCGTACAAATAAAGAAAGCACATTTAAAGCTCAGGCTACTTGGGTGATTCCATATATAAGTGATAATATCACCACAAAATTAAAGAGAATACTTAGAGAATCAGACTTACCTATTAAAATAGTACAAAAACCAGGTATCTCCCTTAAATCATTAATAACAAGTTCAGCATACAAGAAAGAAACACGATGTATGAAAAATATCTGTAAAGCTACTAAATATGAACTACACGATAGATGCCATAGTAAAAACGTTGTTTATGGAGTAACTTGTATATAGGAGAAACTTGCCGACCGTACATGATCGAATATCTGAACATGCGCGTGACCTCAATACTAACAATGCTATTGCAGAACATTATGGAAAGAACATGTCCTACCACAAGCGGATAACATCTTATCGGATGTTAAGATCTTATCTAAACGCCTTATTTTTCTAGACCGAAAGATTAAAAAATCGAATTTTGTGAAGAAAAAGAAACCTAAAACGAACAAATATAAAGGTTGGCCTTTAGTGTAGAGACGTTAATAGCATTCTTAAGATTTTAATATCTTGAACTTTGACGAAGTCTCTATACACAATCATAAGAGTGAAAAGATATTTTCAGGCATTGTTTTATGTAAGTATTGATACAATAATAAGAAATAACACAAATACAAATATTAACAGATAGTTTATATAAGTAACGTATCCTATTCTAAATACAATAATTTTAATAGTTTATCCGTTGGTTTACACATATTATTTATTTACCATTGTTGGTTTGGTTTGTTTCAACAATTGAAAATAACAGATTCTTGACTTGTAGGTGTAATCAAGGTAAATGATCAGATTGTAGACTTCCAACTGTAGATTAGATAAGGTAACAGATTAACAGTCCTTGTTGTAGTTTAAGTAATACAACAGATTGAATACTTCTTGTTGTTATTTTTTTCGAAATAAACATAACATATTGTTCAGCTCTGGTTGTAGTCTGTATAGTTTTGAGTTATTTTTGTAGTCTAGATAACGCAACATACTGTAGATGTGTTGTTGTAGCTCAGATAACACAGTAAATTACAGACTGCTCATTGACATTTAAGTAATACAGTATAGTAATATAGCAGTTTCAATATTCTTGTTAATTAATGCTCAGAACCTTGTAGATTTCTGGTTGAAAATGTAATCTTAAAACAGATGACACATTATTTTGATTAAAGTTCAGGTAATTCAGCAGATAATAAAGAATAAATTAGGCCTCTACGTTGTTATTTCTTCATCGAAATTCACATTTTGATAAGGAAAAGATATTAGCAAATAGATAGTAAACAAATTTATAAAATTCTGCAAGTTGTTAACACAGGGAAAATCTATAGGTATTTGAAGGTCTTTTTCGTGAGTGTAAAACACTTAAATACACCATTTCGATTTTCGATACCTCACTACTATAAAGACTTGGTTTGGTCTGAAGTTTCATTGGTAGTGTCCAGGGTCACTGATGAGGAGTGGAATTCTTCGAAACTAGTCTGGCTCACAGATACACCCCCAATGAAAGAATAGACCATTCCAAGCTTTTACTTGTTGTTAAACAAATGTTTAAACAACTCTATTCAATTGTTCTAGTTGTTATTCAAGTAATACAGCAGGTTGTGAATTTTGGTAGTAATTTAGGTAATACAACAGGTTGTAAGCTCCCGATAGTAATTTAGGTAACGCAGTAAGTTGTAAACTTCTGGTAATAATTCAGATAATACAGTAGGTTGTAAACTTCTGGTAGTAATTCAGATAATACGAAATATTGTAAACTTCCAGTAGTAATTCTGTTAATATAACAAGTTGTAAACTTCTAGTAGTAATTCAGTTAATATAACAAGTTGTAAACTTCCAGTAGTAATTCAGTTAATATAACAGGTTGTAAACTTCTAGTAGTAATTCAGTTAATATAAGAGGTTGTAAACTTCCAGTAGTAATTCAGTTAATATAACAGGTTGTGAACTTCTAGTAATAATTCAGTTAATATAAGAGGTTGTAAACTTCTAGTAGTAATTATGTAATATACGAGGTTGTAAACTTCTAGTAGTAATTCAGTTAATATACGAGGCTGTAATCTTCTAGTAGTAATTCAGGTACTACAGCAATTTGTAAATATGTGATTGTAATTAAGGCGACAGTACAAGTTGTAAAATTCTAGTGGTAATTCAAGTAATACACTAGGTTGTAAACTTCTTGTACTAATTCAGGTAATGCAGCAGGCTGTAAACGTATGGTTGTAATTCGAGTAATGCAACATGTCGTAAACTTACGGTTGTAATTCAGGTAATGTAACATGTCGTAAACTTCTGGTAGTAATTCAAGTAATATAGTAGGTTGTAAATTTCTGGTTGTTATTCAGCTACACGAGAGTGATCTGCCTACTGGCTAGGTTTTATATTTGTGTACCAAAATGCTATTTAATATATTTCTTTAACTAAGACGTAGGAACTACTAAAAGTAAAATAAGTAATAGATTAAAATAAGAAAAGTAACCTTGTGATAAAAGAAAAATAAGGAAAGAATTACTTAAGTTCTTAATATTCAGACTTCAAAGGCATAAAAGAAACTAATAACACAGGTCTGCGAATTTAAACTTCATAAAAATTATTTTGGTTTAAATAACGGATTTTTCATAATTCAGCTACGCAGATCTCGAAAAAAATATTAATTTTTTTATAACATAAGGATTTTTTACAAATGGGGAAGAAGAAAAACTGTTACTTAGATCAAATTATTATTTCGTTTACCACAGTAA